TCTCACCCTGCTGATCTGACCTTGTTTGCCCTGCATCCTCAATTTCAGTCCCCCCTTTTTTTTTTTCTCCATTTACTTCCATTTTTTTCTGACTTCCAGAACTCTCTGTAACTGCCTCTCCCCACCCCTCTGCAACCTGTCCCAAGCTTCCTCCTGACTTCATCTCCCCTTCATTGGCTTTTGTGCCATCAGTGCCTAAGACAAGCTTCCTTTGAATATTTACCGACTTCCTTTACAGTTCCTCCTTTTGAAATCCATCTATTGCGTGAAGCAAGTTTTAGTCTTTAACACTTCTTTCTGTGTTTGCTTTAATACGCTCGTACATTTAGACTGTATTGTACATTTAGACTGTAAGCCCTTCAGGACAGAGTTCTATACTTGCTCAGTATAGCTTGCCTATTGTACAGCATCTGTACACTTCTAGCACTATAAAACAGCCAAGATACCCATACACTTCCAGTTTAAAAAAGTCAGCAATAAATCCAGTTAAATATTCCCTACTCCCTTCCCTCCCCTTAAATTTGTGGCTCCTTTGTGGGTTGGGTTTTTTTTGGTTATTTCTTAGCCAAGCCCATTGTTTCAGTTTTTATATCCTGTGATGTGGAGGCTTGGGCTGCAGCACATATTTTGCTTCTCCTCAGAGCTTGCTTCCCTTTCCCTGCCTTTCCTAATACCATAGGTACCTGAATCATTTGGACAATGATGAATTTCAGAAAGCCATCCAGGAACTCCAGTTAACAAAGAGTATCTGGACTATTGACCTGGCCTACCTAATGCGGCACTTCGGTGTCAAGCATAAATTTTGCACCCAGACGCTTGGAGTGGACAAGGGCTACAAAAACCAGGTTAGTATTCTTATCTACTGGGAGACAGCAGACAGTTTTAAAAGCCCCGCGTGTCATGCTGTAAAAGCTCTGCCGTGTTACTGACAATTAACCACAGTTCCTGTAAACAAGGTTTGCCTATTGCCAAAACTGGCACAAATCAGCTCCAAAGGCGAGACTAGATACAGTCACACATATTTTACATCTTTGATTCCATAATATGAATTTTTAAGAAGTTTTCATGTAGTGCTCATGAAAGGTCCTAGCCTATTTGACAGCCTTGGAGACTGAAGCCCTCCATTTATCTACAGAACAAGTACAGCCTGGCAGCAGCAGTGCTAGCTTCCACACTTCCCCCACCACCGTGCCTCAGCCCTGACCTGGAAGAACCACCTCTAGAGGTGAGAGGGAAATGTGGCCTCCATGTCTATTGAGAGCTTGGCCTCTTCAAGATTGCCAACGGGGGGCCAATGAGGGCCTATAGTGGCGATGGCTTTTCTAATGCAAGTTCCTGCCCGGTACGAACCAGACGGGCTTCTTTCCTGTAGGCAGCTGAAGAGCCACTGGATGGAGATAACAATAACTGACCAGGAGTGAATTTAAACTTAAAATTTAGAGCAGGAATCCTTACCCTGTTACCAGTGAACTAAGGGAGAGATCTCTTATCCCATAGCCAGATCTCCAACTTACGCAGGCCCTTACTAGCAAGGATTGTAAGTGGTGGATTACCTAAGGTAAACATCATTCCAGTTCATAACTTCTGTTATCTCCACAGTCATTTTACAGGAAGCACTTTGACACAGAAGAGAATCGAGTGAATCAGCTCTTTGCGCAAGCCAAAGCCTGCAAGGTGCTGGTGGAGAAGTGGTAAGTTTATTCTTTTCTTTCCTTTCTCTTCGGAGATTCTGTGGGCCTCATGCTTTTCTTGGAAGAAGAGACTAAAATCAGGCCCCAAGCCTTTTTTGTGAATGTGTCTACTATATCTGTCTCAAAAAAACCAAAAAGTGGGCATCAAGAGTTAATAATGAAGTTTGAGGTAAAATAGTCACGACATAGAATAAGTGATTTGAAAATGCTGACAGGAGTTGACTATTGTTTACATTTTGAATTTGATTAAGATTATCCAGTAGGGAGTGTCTACAGCACTCTAATTTGCCATTGTTGGAATTAAGGAGTGCTATGTGGGCACACAACCCATTGATCCCAGAGCTACACAAACGTAGCGCTCTGTTCCTAGACAGACACGCAAAGAAAAAGCTAGCATATGAGCTTTTGCCAAGAGGAGATGAAATAAGGAACCTCTATGAAAGATCTGCAAACCCAGGAGAAGGGGAAAGACTGCCTAATTGTTTCACAACCAACAGTGATATTCTACATGGGAAGTAACTAAGCGTCTGTGTTCAACTTGAGCTGCATCCCTTTTTGTAGTGAAACTGGATTTGGATCTCTGTTGTTGAAGTGGGGTAAATGATTAGGAGCAAGAAAAGAAGAGAGGGTACAGGGCAGCCACAACAGCATTTGAATGCTGCAATGCAACTTTCATTTAGCTGAATCATGAAGTGTCCTTTTTAACATATACGGAGTCTGTATGGCACCATCTGTTTAACTAGGGCTGTCACAGGACAGAAGGGACAGTCAGTCCACCTTGCTTTAGCAATCTTAAGATTGTGGCTTTGGTCAAGGCAGGGACAGAGGGCATATCTACATGTGCAGTGCTGAGGCTGGGGCATCAAAGAGGAGAAGTGACACTGGAAAAGATTAAAAAGCACGAGTTCAGTTAGGTAGGGCACACAGCCTGGACACCTGGAGTGTATCCAAGGGATGGGTTTCTAATGCATATGGAATACACCATCTGCCTCAGTGAAGGACAGCTTTTAGCAGATGAGATTATAGGTTATGTTTGGTTAACGCTCATTCTCTGTAGGAGGTACTATAGAAATAAAGTCTCAAGAGCATCAGGTAGTCCAAAATTGCAACTGGGAGAAACATATATTCCTGTGTGACAGGCAAATTTGGGTACGTTTTAATTTGGTTAGTGATTATACAATCTTTAAGCACTCAATTGATAAAAGATTTGGTGCTTCAGAGGAGTTTTTCTAAGAGCAGGAAAGAACACTTCATTTATGATTTTCCCACAACAGAAGTCTCTAAAGTTACTGAATGAGTTGCCAGCTCCTTTAATAGTCTTCTCGGGAGCATCTAATAACATTCTGAGACTACATTTCTATTTACTGCAGAATCCAGAGCTGTTGCTCTGCATTTCAGTAGCAGCAATGAGATCAAAAGGCCTTGAATGACACAGGCTTTGTCTATAGCAAAGCTTGCAGGGTTTAACAGCAAAAAGCTGTACCTGTGAGATAAAAATAACCATGCCAGCTGCATGTCGTAAGTACAGTTCATCATCACACACTTCATTGTATACCAGTCTCTTTCCTAAACTTGTTAATAAGCATGTCTGATTTTTTTTCTGCAGCACAGTAACTGTTCAAGACATCCAAAACCACCTGTCCCAAGGTCATGTAGCCATCGTCCTAGTTAATGCAGTCCTGCTATTGTGTGATCTTTGCTCAAGTCCTGTCAAATACTGCTGCTTCCTCCCCATTGGACAGAAGTGCTTCTGCAGGAATCCTGACTACCAGGGCCATTTCATTGTGTTATGTGGCTACAACAAAGCCTCAGGGAGTATTTATTACAACAACCCTGCCTATGCTGACCGTGAGTAGCCTGTTCCTTTTGGGTGGATTCTCAGCCACCGCATTACTAACATGTCTGTAATACAGAGCCACAGCTGGACTTCCCCTAATAGTGTGCATATATTTCAAGCATCACTAACCAATTTGTCAGAAGGGGTTTTGCCACATTAATTAAATCAGCGCTGCATTTTGTGCTGTGATTTACTTGAGGCATTGAGATACACATTCTAGCAAACTTGTTTGGCTTTCAGATGGGTTAGTGAGAGATGCTGAACCATTGTTCAGAATATAACAGGATGGCCAATTTAGTACAGCATTACTTCAGTGAGCACTGACTTTGAGGTGAAAAGATCTACCTGAGTGAAGCTGTAACCTAAGCTGATAGGTCTAGTCTGTATACTAGTTACTTTTCTTTGTAGAGGCTGCTAGACCCAGTATAAGAGCCTTTCACAGGCAAATTCTTCTGAATTTTTAGTAACATTTTGTTCCTCCTTAACAGGGACATGCTGCACCAGCATCAGTAACTTTGAGGAAGCCAGGACAAGTTACGGCACTGATGAAGATATTCTGTTCATCTACACAGACAGCTGACATCCACACCTGATACTTCTGGTCCTTTCCTGTGCAGCCTGCATGGCAGCTGGCTGCTTGTCTCAGGACTCCCCCTGCAGAGACCTTGCTCCTGAGCTGCAGTGGGATCTTAAACAGGGGAGGCTTTATAGACATTGATAGGACTATATTGCAATGCTGTCTTTACCTTTTTTTTTTTACCTGATGATGTATCTGATTTTGCAATGTATGTCTCAGTTTTTTGGGTTTTTTTTTCCTCATCTTCAACATTGCACATTTGACAGCAGTTTTAAAATACAGGCCCAGAGCCTGTTCACTTTGAGCTTATTTTCAAATTAAACACATGAGAAAAAAGCACCAAATTTATGAACTTTAAAACTTGGTAATACATGCATAGGTTTAGGTAAACAAACCCAGGAAAATAAAATAGAAAATACCTGTTTCTCTCTCTGTCAAAGCATCAAGGGCTGATCTTCATCCTAAATCTACGGATTTGAGGTTCAGCAAAAAAAATTATGGAAGGAAAAAAATATTAACTTAAACCACTTTTAAATAACAAAAAATGCCTTGCTGGCTCATCAGTATTGTCTGCATTACAGGAATGAAACACATTTACTCAAGGAAACTTCCCATGTACCAAATTCACCTTACACAGATTTAGCATTTATGCTACTGCATTAAATTTTGAATCGTAGTTATTGGTGTTGCTCCCTTGTACTACAAACTCAGTCTCTTTTGGCTAAATCCTCTAGGATGACTGCTCAGAGCTCCGTACTGCCCCAAAAGTTTAAGCAAAGATATTTTATTTGTACCTGGAAGTCTTTACTGCTCTTTGCAAAAACCTCTGAACATTATGCCACCCACATGTGCCAGTTTCTGCAGGATCCATTCTAAATATAAACTTTAAACTTACTAAGCAAATACAGAAAATTATCATCCACACTAATGGTATACATTTTGTGTGTAAATTGTAAATATCTGACACCATATACTGAATTGTAACTAAAAGGCTGAATGATAATTTGAGCCCAATTTTGCTATTGGTATTCGTTCAGTGACCTTCCTAGAAGACCTGAAATCAATTAAGAGAAGAGGGGATACACACGTCTCTGCTACAAGTAAAAAGGCAGGAACTCAGATTTTCTAGCTCTTATACTACAGCTGTATTTGGATTAAGTTGGAGTTACTGTATTCAAACATTATCAAGTGAAATTGTTAGCAGCCCATTCATAATCCTTTCACGTATTACCTGGGTTTAATTACTTTGCTGAGGAGCACTGTAAGGTGTAAGAAATAGCACCCTATTTCAGATTCATCCATCACAATTTCCTACAAGTTTTGATCTCCAGTCCTGCCTATGTTGAAGCGGGTAGAAAAATCAACGTTAATACTGATGTAAAGCTAGCAAAATTTTATTTTGCACTTAAGACAGAGATCCCACCCCTTTAGCGTGGTTTTAGGAAAAGAACTGTTCAAGTTCTGGAACTGCATGGAGTAACAGTAAAAGAACATTGTTATTTGGTGGTGAAAATAGTAAATAGGAATCTACTTTCAGCATGGTAAAAAATTTTTCTAAGAGAAAACATTTTATCAGTTGTTGACTTACTGAAAAGTATCTGGAAAGCGTTCAGTAAGTATGCTTAGTAGAATCAAGAGTGCTCCTTTGTACAAAGGCTAAAAATGGTAACAGACATTTAACATGCAGTAGCCTTTAAAAAGTTCCAAACAAGAAGTATGTGACAAGAAATTTTCAGTGTATCAGATTTTGCTGATCATTGGTGAAGTTGGAATACATTCTGGCACTTACACTTGCAAAATGAGTAAAAATTAGGATGTGATTTGTGAGCAGTACATTAGTGCCACCAGCAGAATCCCAGAAAAGAGGTACAAAACTTATTATAGATAATGCCTTCCGACTCCTCTGAAGTAAGTCACCAGAAGGCTACTGATCTGGGAATTTTTATGTCTAAGTCCAAATTCATGATGTTTGATTTAGAGAGACTGCATTAGCTATGTTACTAATTAACAGGGTATGTAAACTACAGGTTGCTAGAGTTCTTCCTTAACCCATGCATTTTCAGGTAGGTAGTTCATTCAATACCATTAAACTGCCAGAGGATTTATTTTAGAGCAGGCTTGGTTAGCTAAATAAAAACAATTCTTACAGAAGGATTGTAATTGATGCTTAGCCTCTTACTGGTTCAGTTATCCAAATGCAAATCTTGAGCTTATACATAAAACAAACTTAAGGGCATGCTAAGTGTTCTGAAGTGCAGATAGGTGTAACAATATTGACTGTTAAATGTTTGGTACCCAGGGTTTAAATACTTCAAAAAAACCTGAAAGATAAAGAAACAAAGCTATTTAAGCTAATACAGACAAAAGGAGAGCTCAACCATTGCAAAAGGATCTCTTAATAGCCGCCAAATGGAAGATAGCTATGAGAGATGAAAACACAAGGAAGAAGCAAAAGCCAAGTGAAAAGACTGAGTATTTATGACACAAATTCAGATGAAAAAGCAGCTCATTGCGCAAGCATTCAGAACGTCTGCATTTTCTGAAACTTTGTTTCCCATTACAAGATTGTCTATCAAAATACTCATTCTGAAAATGTTTTGTCACAGTTTCCTTCATGATGTCAATAGCAAAGGAAGAGGTATTTTACATGCAGGGATTTTATACATAAATATATTTTTATTTGTAATTAAGCCATTCTCAATAAAGGTTTAAAGTCACAGATAACCCTGTAACATAATGTAGCAAGTGCATTTATTAATGACCTTATGGAAAATCTTTAGAGGACATGTTATATACTTAACTGGAAATGGTACAGCTGAAATTGTAATTTGGAAAAAAAAAAATTAAGAGTTCAAATACTTATTTCCGCTATAAATTCATAGTTGCTAGGCTGTAAATTGTATTCATCCTGCACTTCCTGAACACCTACTGCATCACCTGAATCATACAAAACTAAATTTCAATATACACTAGTAGCCGAGAATAGCAAATGTATTGTTATTATCTATATTCAACAGCTGTTTTGTGTACTCCGCAACCACTGAGTATCCTACTGGAGTGCAGCTCCAGGGAAGTAGTTTTCATTACCCATCCTGATCCCTAATAGTATTTCCGTGGCTTTCTGTTCACAATGAAAAGTATGCAACTACACCAGCCTTGACTATGCTTTAGCTACCATGTCTATTTTTGCCTCACAGCACAGCACTGAGCTTCTGAAGATATTAAAAGCATCTATCTGCAACACTACTTTTGCACCTTGAAGGAGCCCATCAAAGACATTGGTCCAACTGTGGTTGTAATACGTAAAGGGAAATAGAAAAAACCAAAGTGGTCTTCCTTTACAGTACCCACAGATCTTCAAACAACTACGACATGTCTGGGATGTTACTCAGCATCAAACTTAGCACAGAACTGCATCAAATAGTTCGTAATTTAAAAAAAAACAGATGAAAATAATTTATGCCTCCTTTCTCCCTGAATTATGCATTTGGGTAGAAGGTAAAAGCTATAGACACACAATGCAAAGCTTATGTAAAAATTTTTATGTCCTCTGAACTCATCTCCTCCATCAAACTATATCACAGTACTGAATACATTTCATCATCATTTCATATCAATGTATTTCTACTGGATATATTTCAATAAGGAACAAAAGTTTGGACTCTGTAAATGACAAAAAAAGCAAGAAGCCATTTTTCAATTATTTTACTTAACACAGTTTTGAATCCTATTATTTAAAAGTTGGTTACAGGAAATTAAAATGACAGCGTTAAAAGAACAACTTGTGATCCACAGTAAAGCTATCATCCAACAGTACCTTTTAATTTGTTATGTAACATTTGATTGTAACTAGATGTTCTCTCTTACTCTTTTATTATATTGGGTATAAAATAAGGCTGGACTGCTTCAGTGAGCTTGTCTGCATACATTTCGTATCTACCAGTCATCTGGAAAAGAAAAATCAAAGCTTCAGTTCTTTTAGTGAGCTATGAAAGCACTTCAGTAGAAAATATTTATATCCACCATTTTTTTTTTTTTAAGATGACATATTATTTAATTGCCCCAAACAGTAAAATCATAATTCACTCAAAATGCAAAGACCTCCAGTGCCTTAGCACAAACTAATATACTTTTTTATAAAGGAACTCGCATTGTGTTGCCTAAAACTATACTTCTACCCAAAAAAAGAGTAGAAATGCATTTCCACTCTAAAAAAAGTAAAACTTTAAAATGAACACCTTCCTGCTTTGCAGCTCTCCTTCACTGACAGTCATGTCTGCTGACTAATTACTGAAGGCTATTTTGGTTATCCTGGATAGCTGAAAGTTGCATGTGGAAAGTGGACTTACTTTCTTACGCATCAACAATACTCTCTTTTAAGCAAGTTATGTCAACGAAGGCGAAGGAGTGTATCTGTAATTATGTCTTCATATTATGTCCTTGACAACTGATGAACCCTGCTGCCAGCAATAAGTTTGCATATGTGCCACTGACGGTATTTGGGTTGCTCTTACTTTATCCATTAATAATATGAAATATTATCATTGCTTTGGGTGATACAGTAAGCTAGGAGGCTGAAATACAGCACTATTCTCTTCTGAAGTGCACAGCCTACAACATTGGCTCTGAGAGGGGCAAACTATTTCCTTCTTGCTGGAGTGTAATGAGGACAATTTGTTTAACTATTTTGCTGCTGTAAGTTTAGCAAAGACATTCTACTTAACATCCCTTTCAGGCATCATTGAATGCAAATTGCAGATACCTAGTTGCTATCAAGGGTTTTCTGTGGTGGATAAATGATGACTTCATACTTCCTCATTCTCCTCTATCAAGATCTACCTCTGTCTCAGCCATGAATGAGAGGAAAAGGAAATAGATATCCCCTGTCATATAAACAAAAGCCACAGCTATGTCTTATGTGCCAAAAGACCAACAATAGCAATCCACACCATCAACATAAAACTAAGGTGCTGAAAGCACAAGACTTGAAGACAACAAAAAATAAGCAATTCTATACAAAACAGCTAAAGGTCAGTGTTTTGCTTTTACTGTTTGTTTTTCCTGATCAATACAATTGCTTTTGTTCAGATACCCCTAACTAAGCTGTTATAAGCAATGCTCCATGTGCTTCCTGACACACTAAATCTCTACTCAATAAGGGCCTCCGATTTCGGTGGCAAAGTAAAACTAAATGCCTGCCTGACTTAAAAAAAACTGTGAATCTCTCAGCACAATTTATTTCCACTATGTCAACAACCATATACCTACCACATGCATCTGTAAAATAACAAATGCAATTCTGTCCAGAAGACGACCTGAAATTACTGTCTTTAGTCCCTATATATGGATTGGCAGGATTACCAAAGAAATTTAGCTCTAGCTAAGAAATGACTATGTTTTAATTAAAAGTTTATTCAGCATTTCATAGAATCGTAGAATAGTTTGGGTTGGAAGGGACCTCTAAAGCTCATCTAGTCCAACCCCCCTGCCGTGGGCAGGGACATCTTCAACTAGATCAGGTTGCTCAGAGCCCCGTCCAACCTGACCTGGAATGT